AGTGACTACCGGGCATGTGCCATCCATATGTTCTGTTACTATTTCCGCCATCTATACCTTTGCTTTCATCGTATTTTTATCTTTTCTTCCTTCGCTTTTGGATCTATAGGTCTCGACGTTTGATCCCGCGCTTTCAGTCGCAACCCGTTTTCCACAACCCCTCTCGATCATAACATGTATTCTAGACGTTCCTCGTATTAGATTCGTCACAGATCAACATCGTCATTCTCTTGAACCTTTATATCTTGCGTTTCATGTCTATAGCGGATGACTGTTGGAGCAATCGGATTTATTACTTCTCGGGAATATTCCAAACAAGTCAGAAAATCATATCAGTTATACCTTTGTTAAGTTTGTCAGTGAAGTTGGACAATCGCTGGGCAATCGTGCATGGTTGATCAACAATAAATACTTAGCTTATACGATAAACTGGAGTCATGTATACAACATCGACCATATAGAAGATCTTCATATCACACAAGTCAGCCTCTTTAAAGGAAGCTCGTATCTCATTGCATGATACACCATATATCTTCCCATCATGGGTTGGGTACGCATCACCCAGAATCTCTGGACATTCTAATGCTTATTAGACTTTAGGTGGAGAAGACGAATATGACCGTGGCGAAGAGCGCCGTTGGAAGACGATTCAGACTGGAATTTTCCGGGCACAGGTACGAGAGAAAAGGCTCTAGATTTTTGACAGAAGTAAGAGCTGGTCTTGCCACGTTCTTTGCTATGGCATACATCATCTCAGTAAATTCATCAATCGTATCAGGTAAGTTTTCTACCTATGCTTTGATAACTCCCCTCACATCTTTCAAGCTACCGGAGGAACATGTGTATGCGACTATCCCCCTGGATCCACGGATCCCTTCTGCTTAGATAGTTCAACGGATCCCAGTTACCAGATATGTGTTCAGGAGATCAACCAAGATTTAGTCACAGGCACGGCAGCGATCTCTGCACTGACGAGTTTTTGCATGGGTGTTTTTGCAAATATGCCGATAGCGCTGGCCCCCGGAATGGGGTTAAATGCATATTTTGCTTATCAAGTTGTTGGAATACATGGACAAGGACCCGTCTCATATAGACTAGCATTGACAGCTGTATTCATCGAAGGATTACTCTTTGTTGCGCTCTCGATACTCGGGCTCAGACAATGGCTTGCTCGCGCAATACCTCGAAGCTTGAAGATAGCCAGCGGTGCAGGCATTGGACTTTACCTCGCTCTCATCGGACTCACTTACAGTGCGGGAATCGGTGCTATCACAGGCAGTAATGCCGATGTACCTCTGCAAGTAACTGGCTGTATACCCGAGCTTATTGCTCCAGATGGAACTTGCACGTCTGGGAAAATGCGAAGTCCGACAATGTGGCTTGGCATATTCGGTGGGGGGATGTTCACAGCGTTTCTCATGATGTACCGCGTCAAAGGTGCAGTCATAGCCGGGATTCTCCTCGTCTCTATCGTTTCGTGGCCGCGCAATACTTCCGTTACTTATTTCCCTCCTACTGTCTCTGGCGATGCGGCATTCGAGTTCTTTAAGAAAATCGTCACCTTTCATCCCATTTCTCGAGTGCTAGCTGTGCAAGATTGGAATATCACGGGAGCCGGGGCTGGACAATTCGCTTCCGCACTCATCACTTTCCTTTACGTCGATATCCTTGATTGTACCGGCACGTTATATTCGATGGCTCGTTTCTGTGGGGCCATCGACGAAGACACGCAGGATTTTGAAGGCAGCGCCGTAGCCTATCTCGTCGACGCCTTTGGCATATCTCTGGGTTCCTTTGTGGGATCACCTCCTGTCACTGCATTCATCGAATCGGGTGCCGGTATCTCAGAAGGAGGCGTTACAGGACTCACGGCCGTCACTACCGGATTTTGCTTCTTCATCAGTCTTTTCTTCGCGCCAATATTCGCTAGTATACCTCCTTGGGCAACAGGCTGTACTTTGATACTCGTTGGAGCGATGATGGCACGCGCGTGCACGGAGATCAATTGGCGGTACCTTGGAGATTCTATTCCGGCTTTCTTGACGCTGGCAATTATGCCTTTTACGTATTCGATCGCTTACGGGCTCATTACTGGAATCGTTACATATACGTTACTTAATACATCGGCATGGGTGTTGGCGAAAATGTCAGGAGGAAGAATTATGCCACACGACTATGAGTTGAAAGATTACTGGACATACAAAGTTCGGGGTGGCTTATTGCCTGGTTGGGTACGCAGAGCCACACGGGGGAAGAGAGATTTTTGGCGCGAGTGGGATTTTGATGCGGAGGTGGCGGATAAAGTTGAGAGTGTGAGGGGACATAAGACGAGGGGAAGTGTGGCGAAGAGTCATAAGAGCTCGAAGAGTCATGATGTGCATGGGAGGCAGAAGGAAAATAGTGGAATGCCCAGTGTGAATATGAATGGGCATGGAGAGCGAACGTGGGAGATGCCCGAGATGGCGTTTCCGAAAAATGTTGCGGTAGGGATTGGAGAAGCGATCGGAGGAGAGGAGAGGAGGGAAAGCATGAGGACTATGAGTTCTGTTGGGAGGAGTCTGGGGAGGAGATCGTGAGCGGGAGGTTGAGGGTCAATGATGATGGATAGTTTTGGTTGGTAATGGCCAGTACTGGATACTTTCTAGGCTGGATTTAATTCACAATGATAAGAGGGATTTCGAGATACCAGATAGGAATACGGATATGGATATGAATGGCTGGCGTAGATAGATTGGGTGATTATATTATTTATAGTCCTCAAGGACTCAATCGAGAAATGTCTAGAAAACTCATGGATGGTTTACATGAATGAGTGGAAACTGATTGATGCAATGCGCTTTTCACAATATTTAAATATCTGCGAAAGAATAGGATCAATTAGCAAGGCGCAATGAATACCCAAAGACCATATTTCGGACCTATTAACTATACAAACAGCAAAAGCGACGTACATACATATCACAACCCACCTCCTCAAACCTCTCACCCAATTCCACATCCTTAAACCCATCCCTCATATTCAACAAATTATCATCATTATCATCATTATTATTATCATCATCATTATCATTATTATTATCATCATCATTATCATTATTATCATCATTATTATCATTATCATCATCATTATCATCATCATTATCATCATCATTATCATCATCATCATTATCATCATCATCATCATCATCATCATCATCATCATCATCATCATCATCATCATCATCATCATCATCATCATTATCATCATCATCACCCCAAATTCACCCAACCTCACCTCCCTTCCCATATGATCCCCAATCCCACCTCTTCCCACATCCGAGAAACAAAATGCCATGCTGGCTCAGTGGTAACGTCTGAGTATGCACGTGCCCTAAAACGGCATCTCTGCTTTACAGGCCTATGACGCGATTGTCTTCTTGCAGAATCAGTTCCGCCTGGTTTAGATTAAGGAATCTCCAAGATTCGTTGCATAGAGCGTCCTTAATTTTTTGTCAATTTTTTGGGTTTTTGGACTGGGAGGGGAATTTCTTTGGGAGGGGTGAGTGGTTGGGAGGGGGGTGCGGGCGGGTGAGGTTATATTCACTTTTGGTGGGTGGGGACTGGGTGGATGCGGGAAGATGGGATGATATGAAATGAAATGGGATAATATGAGATGAGATATTTTTGCAGGAGAGAGGGAGCATGGTATATATAGGTGTAGTCGTAGTCGTAGTCGAGAGAAATATAAATTAGTATTGGTTTGGAAGATAGGGAGGAATTTATTAAACCACAAGATAGATATATATCAAGAAGTGAGTCCAAAGTGATGCAGACAGAATACATCACTCTGCACAAACCGAAGCGCATAATTCTGTTCAATGTATGCAACAGCTTAGACTAGAAAGGCATCACATCTTTCTTTAGTAATACAGATAGAATACATAATATAATGAATTAATTATTTCAACTGGCTTGCGGATTCAAGTGTCCCCGATGGTTTCCAGATTGCGAAAAGCCTTCACTGTTGAATTGCAATGACTACAAAACAGATCTTCTCCTACCCATATCATTTCACGCCTCACTCTAGTAATATGCGTGTCAAAGTAGAGCCCCTTTGCAGAAACGATGTCGAAGCTTCCGAAGCAGTCCCTGCAAACAGCATTTATGGAGTCTGCAACGTGATCAAGTATCGTATGTCGATGTCTATGAAGTCAAGTATCGTTCTCAAAAATAGATAACAAGGCCAATGAAAAATGAACCAGAGTTTTCAGATGGGTCTTTCCTGTCATGACATGGGAAAGTAGTAAAGAAAGTGAAGAGTAGACATCGATCGTAAACAGCACTCTGGCTCTACGACGTTCAACGCCCAAGGCGTTAATTGATGATGCATCTCTACATCTATCATTTCAAAGTTGTCTGTTCGGCATACTGTCGATCGATCATAGCCTACTATGGCTAGATCCCAGGTCCATGTAGTGACGAGACTTGAAGATGTAAACGCGAGCTCATATTCAGCCTGATTACGAGCTTATTATAAGGAGCGTCAGAGTGTGTCTAAGTGTCGGACCCAACTTCCCACATTATAGAGTACAATGAAGCACCTTAACTTCGAGGTTTCTTCGTCCGTCTAATGCAGAAGTCAACATCATTGTCAAACAGCACGGCTTCGGTCTCACTGTATTTTAAACTTGTTGGAGCAAACATAATATAAGGATGATGTTCATAACTTAAAAGCGTCGCTTGTATTAGAGGAAAAAGACCAAAAACTCCTACCGATATGCCCTTCCTTCATATCATGGCCAGCTGTGCAACCTCCCAATTGTGCATATACCGAAGCATGGATGCGATCCTTTACCCATTCCCATCCCGAATTTAACCTGATGCCCTCGTCATTGCTGTCATAACATTCATTTCATTCATAAAAGTTCATCCATCCCCTCCTCTCCGTCGTATCTCTCACTTACCCAATACAAGCTTGGCCCGAGTGCGAGCAATTCCAAAAGTCAGCAAATTAACTTAAGCTAAATAAAGGAAGGTATCAATAACAGAGCATTTTCGTAAGAGTGATATTCGCCATTCGATATTCCGTATAAAGATTCGCCCGGGCCGGCTAGTCGATTCCCCTCGCCTCTACCATCTGGATCAACGCTGTCAGTAGAGCCAGTAGAAGATTTTCGGCCTAGAGCTTTTGCCTCTTCGAGCTCCATCTCATGAAGCTTTTTCTTCTTCTCAATTTCTGGGTTTGGCTGAGGGATATCGTCGTTGCCAAGTAACAAGTGTCCAGGCACTGCCTCGAATTCTCCTTCATCATCATCCCCTTCTCCCTCACTAGAATCATCCCCGCTCATGATGGGACTATCAAGCTGTGCAGATCTAGGGCTCTTCACAATCATCTCCGGACTCTGAGGTCGAGAATCAAACCCACTGGTGCTTGTCGCTTCGCTCTTACCGGAATCTATCTTTTTGAGAGGTCGGCTGCCTTCAAGGGTAAATGGTGTCAATGTGGGATCAAATTCCGCTGGTAAACCAAGAGCAGCTGCTACCGCGTGCGCTTCAATAAGGGGACCAGTTGCACTCTCGAGATTGCTTGCAACGATTGACGTTTCATGTCCGCTAACCCCACTCTCTTGTAAAATGCGAGTGTAACTTTGACGTGCCGGATCTGCATCTCGTTTTTGCTTCTTCTTTAACCTTTTATCCGTGGGTCTTACGACAACGACTGGTATGGGCGAATACTGCAAGCACCATTTTGAGAACGAGTTTCTGTTTCCCATCAAACCTTGGAACCCCCCAAGACTTCGCCCCCGAGTTCCAACGATGAGCATTGCAGGTTCGTAAATTTGGATCTGGACACCCGAATTGTTAGTAAGTGGCGATGATTATCTGCGAACACCCAACGGTCCAAACTTACCATCTTTTGAAAAGTTGTATGAACTTTGCCTATGGCATACTCCAGTACAATACTGACAGCTTTATTGTCATCGTTCTTCTTTTGTATCGCATCTAGTAGTTCTCTCGCATCCTGCTGATATTGCTTGACCTCCAGGGCTCTGTCAGTGATCAACTTCGAATCTTTGTCAACAACCCTTAAGCAGATAATTTGGTCTCCATCGTCGACGAGCTCCTCTAGCATCCATTGTAAAGCGATATCCGAATAGGAATTCTCGTCTATGCCGACCATGAAAGTCCTCGAGGATCGTTTGTATTGATATCCTTCATGTTTAGAGTTCTGAGTGTAACTTCTTGTATTCCTCTCTGTGTCTTCTGATAGCGATCCAATGCTATCGAATGAGACTTTTCCTTTAAACTTTCTGTTGTTGGGCGCCATTAGTGTCAGATTCATGTATCGCAAAGAGATATTGGGTAGTAATGTAATAAAGATCCAGATCAACCATAGAGAGCTGTCTTGCGCGATATAGAAACCAAGTGGGGTTGATCACCCGCCCCCAGATTTCGGCCGCTAGGATCCGGGAAGGAAAGCGTGGGACATAATAAAGTATACTTTGATTTGATGGTACGGCCTATTCCCACCTTCCCTTGAAACAAAACATCGTCGCACAAAGAATAAGGAAATGGGACACAACTTACGGTGGAGGAGGTGGACTCGAGCCCCTCAGACGAGGACGAGTCAGCGTCTTCTTTCCTTTCCCACCCTTCCCGTCTTTCAAGGGCCGCGGACCTCTCGAACCCCCTCTGAAGGATATGCTCGACATCGAGTTTACCCGTTGGTTAGGCGGATGATCATATTGGACATGCTCTGTGATAGATCTAAGCTTTCGAGAAGAAAAATAGTCCGAATTTGTTGGCGCAGAAATATTTGGTGAAAGGGGAGATTTGGGGGATGGCGAATCTGAGCTTCTAAAGTGCGGGGAAGTAGGAGCCGACATGGTAAGTTGTTGTTCAATTATAAATTAGACATTTGGTCTCTTTCAAGGCGACTTTATAGTAATTGTTGAATGCTTATGTCGAATGAGGTGAGCATAAGAACTTTGAGATTGTTGGTTTGAGATTTGTCAAAGTGGATGGATGAAGTGGTCCGTTCTAGGCTTCAGGCGAGAAACAGCGGTGTCGTACTAGGATTATTTAGATATTTATTATTCATGCCCAGATACTGAAGTTGAAAGATTCTGGTTAATCAGCTAAGGTATGGGTGAATCAACGATCATGTATGCATTTTGTTACGTTATTAGTAGTCTTTATGAGACATGCTGAATGCCAAGATAGTCGTCGCGCCTTCCCTTTCAGCCTTGTGAGTTGCTTACGACAGGTACAACTGTGATGGTAAAATCATGGATACTCTCTCACCCTGGAATAGCACAGCAACGCATACATATACATGGGGTTTACTTCATAATTTATTTTGATCTACTTGTAAGGCTCCTCGCCTTCGTCCATTTTTGACAAGCCATTTCGTGGATTTGTCTTTTCCACCCCCCAGTACGCCATACCAATGCCATAGAGTTGAAAGCAATATTGTCAAGAGAGATGCATGAAAGGTATTTTAGTATGTGCGAGCAAGGTTTCTGAGATACCAGTCCACCAATTTGCGGCCGACCTTTGCTTCAGAAATATGAATGAGATCCTGTAAAAATTTATTAGCAATTTTGTATTTTGCATTGATTTTTTCTAATAGACTTACTCCTTGCATGGCATAATCGAGATCGTTAGAGTTGACCACTTCTCCATCCAACAATCCATTATCAGTCCATCTAATTTGTCTGCTGCGTTGCTTGTTGACTAATAACCATCCCCTCAACTTCTCAGGTTCAACCTCCAAGAATCCAGCCAACTTCTTTACATCCATGGTGGTGTATAACCTGAGATAGGACTTCACAGTTGGGCTCCACATGTTCGTCTTAACCTCATCCATGAAGATAGATAGATGGTGCTCGAGAGGGTCGACGTTTAATTCTGGGTTGTCGAAGTCAGGAGGAGTAGGAGAGATAAACTTAGGGCATGCAGAGCGGAATAGCTCCTCAAAGATTGGGAGAGATTCAGGTCCACCGCGTTGAAGCTTAAGGAGTTGGTCACCATACTTCTCGCGGAGAGCAGTGTGGATGGTATCATCGAGACGGGTTGGGTGGAAAGCCACACAGATGGCAATGAGAGCGTACATTTGATCGTTCTTCTTGGAGATTGAGTCATACTGGGCGTTCTTTTGGAAGTTCTTGGTTCTTGAAACGTAGATCAAGATGTGGCTGAACATGCGGATGGCATCTGCGTATCTGCGCATCATCATGTATGAGAATCCTACATAGTAATAGGTAGTGAAATGAGCGGCCATGACGCGCGCAAACATAGCCTTCTTGTTAAGCTCGATATCGTCAAGTGTCTTCAAGGCGAGACTGAAATCACCGAGGAGACAATGAACTCGCAATAATCCAATGATGGAGAAGTATCCGAGCATTCTGTACAAGGACTTCGAACCATAATCACCGGCGACCGCCATAGGCTCTTCATTGCGCTTCATGGCAGCTAATTGCTCGTTGATCTGCGATCTCTGAATGAGAGAGTATAAAACGTTCAAAACACTGTAACATCCCCATGTGTTTGGCGCCTCGCGGAGGATTTGAATTTCTTCTTCATTTGTACCTTGACGTGCGACACGATTTCTGTACGAGCAGAAAGAGTTGAACTGGTAGATGAACTCGTCGATGACATCCCAAGCCCAGTAGTACTGTAGCTAGAATTAGCGTCCCATGCGAGTCTGTTGATAAATGAACAAAGAACTTACCGATGGTGGTTCGAGGTCAACTGGTCCGTCAGAGTTCAAAATGAAGTGAAACAAACTACAATAATTATCGTAGCTTGCAAACTTGACTTCCAAAGGAGCAGAAAAGTCCAAGGGTTGTGCAGCAGCAGCAAGTCTCGACTGAATATCATCCGTCTGTTGTGCCATGCTCATCGAGTTGACCTGCTCCAACTCTTCCATACCTTCATATTGAACCTGTTCTTTATAGTCGTTGGCAAGAGCCTCCTCCTCAATATCGGAGTCATCGTCCAAGGCTCGCGATGCGATGCCGCCGTTTTGAAAGGCGCTCATGATGCTGAAATTTTGCTCGGAGTCGTCGTCGAAGCAGAGTAAAAATTTAAACCCCACCACCAAAGGATTCAAAATCGAGGTTCGGTTATCGCACTAGGACACTAGGGCTAGTTAAAACAAATCTATCTCCCTAAATATTCAGCACTATTTTTCACTCTCCTAGCTTCTAATGATTGTATTTCCTTGCCGATTTTCAAAAATGATATAACTCTTTGACTATTTGTCACATTTAGAAAAATTATCTGGGAAGGCTTTCCAGCACCTGTTGTTGCAAATTGAAGGGATTTTGTTGAATTGGCGGATTAAGTTGAATTTTATGGTCACGTGTAGCTTGCTATATTGAATTCATCTCTTTGCGTGGAAATGAAAGATAAGTCGCAGACATTGCTTTTTACCCTAGATCAGCATCTAATAAGTTCGAGAGAATGTTTAATCGTCAGATTGTATTGAAACATTAGAAAGCTCTTACTGCTAGATCTGAAGTGGGCATGAAGTGGGCGTTGAAAAATGTAATGAAGTCCATTCAGGCACATTTCATGAATTTCCTCCATTGAAAGGGCTTGCTCCACAGGACATCAAAAATTCTGAATACAAAAAGTTTTTGAAGCACTTTGATATCCATGGATGTATGTGATCGTGGTTCATTACTCAATAGACTGGTAGGAAACGAGGAATATTGCTTCTAGTCTCAGGATTCAAAGCATCTATGTGTAAATGATTGCTTCATATCCCCGTGAGAGCAAGTACTTCTAGATTTCAGGCAAATCTGAACGAATTGTATCATGGTAATGCATCTTGTTTCTCAATACTAGGTACTCACTGTGGGAATCATGGAAACCAATCTACCTAATTTTCGCTTGCCTCGCTGAAATGCTCCTTTATCGGTACAAACCCACCATATTACTTCGTCACCTTCGTATCATGCGTGATAAATTTCATCCTACTGCATATACTCAACCAAAAGACTTCTGGCCTCAGAATTTAATCTTTCGTTGACGTAACCTGAAATTGCTCTGTCGTGTCGTTGATTTGCCTCTCTCAAATATGATCCCACCCAAAGCTTTACATCCGTGATCTCTGGCCATTCGTCAACTGCAACCTTCTTGCAAGTGTTAAGTTGTGTAAAGCCAACTCCGAAACTTAAGTCGTCGACATCTGCTTCAGCCACTACATCATCGGTTGTGACAGGTAGTGGTGGGTTCTCCAACAACTTGAGGAGAGCCTCACAAGTCTTAGACCAACCCTTCTTATATCTAACAGCAAATGCTTGAGAATCGGTCAGGGTCTTAGTCAAAGAGATGACGGCGATTTTGCGGTCTAGTGGTCGAGGGAATTGCTGGGTGATTGGGAGGATAATGGTCAAGTAAAGAGGCACGAATACGGTGTCTTGTACAGCATCTGATTGCTTTATAAAGAAATCTGCTCCAAGGCCTTGCTGATCCTTAGATGAGATGAGATGATAGAAACGGACAAAGCGACGCTTAAACGCTTCGGGAGGATTGCTGTTAAGGCGTGTGAACATGATGTTTAAGATCGTAGGGAAATATTGTTCAATGGCAGAGCTATCACATGTTAGAACAGAAACAATTGGTATGTTAGGAAGAGAATTAGAGTTGCTTACACATTGCACGAAATAATCAACGCTTCTAGAACATCAAAACTTTGTAGCTCAGTTCTTGATTTTCCGGCCATAAGCTTCTGGAAAATGCCAAGTATTGGCTCGAGTTGGTTATTCGCTACAAGTTCAGCAGCGCATTTAGGGATCATTGCGGAAAGCAATCTGGTCAGGGCAGGCACGTTTCCTCGAGACTCCCAAAGAGTAGGACTTAGGATTGGGGCAATCAAGTTTCTGTAGTAGTCGGAAAGTGTCGTGGACGGGTTGGCTTCCAGAAGAGCGGCGAATAGTTGGAAGACATAGGGCATGAATTCTTGACGATTGTTAGTGCAGAACCCCATCTTTGAGTGGATATTGAGCATACCTTGAACGTCGCTAGAGAGAATACCAGCAAAGGTAGGATACAGATCATTCTCAAGTTTGTCGGGTTGTGAAGGCGCCGACCATCTTTTTTCAAGTTAGCAATGAATCTTGTAAAGAATTTGTGTACATACCTGATCAAAGCACCAAAGGCTTCGAAGTGATAGTAGTAAAAGCGTGGGTTACTAGGGTTTTGGCCAATGACTTGAGTGATCTTGATCAAGTGCTGCAAAACATTATCTGCTATTGGAATAACGCCGTCCTTAATGACAATGAGCACTCTCATAACACAGCGCATGAGGAACTCATTCTCCTGAATTTTCTCGGGTGCGGCATCTTTCTCGATCAAATGGAACAAGTGATTTAAAAGGCTCTCGGCGAGTGGCAATACATCCTCCTTCCCAAAGATATGCTGGTTTGCATCGTTTGTGAGAAACAGAACTCTTTCCACAGTAATTGCGGCGTAAGTGTATACCACATAGTTCGAGGAACCTAGATTCTTGACCAGGGGTTCAAATGCCGCCTTCCATTGATCTTTGGTCAATTGACTACGGAATGTATAAAGGAATTTAATAGCATCAACCTTCAAGATCGGCTCAACATTGCTTTCCGCAAGAAGATCATTCGCGATATTCTGCTGGAAAAAGTCGACAACATTCACTAAGGGGTTTGTGGTTTTGACTCCTTGTCCTGTTGTGATGACACCCTTAGCTGCGATAGCCGAAAACAAATATACGGCGGTATCCTTAGATTTCCAATGATCGCTACCGTTTTGGGAGAATTGGTCAAGATAATGCTTGATATATCTCCCAACAACATCTGTCACAAGTGGCTCGAACTTCTCCAGAAGCTTGCGCAAGAAGTCGGTAGCTGCTCGTCTTCTGGTGTCAGCATCTGAGCCCTCCAGATCTCTTCGGATATACTCGATGGGCTCATCCTCGAATTGTTCGATATCCGTTTCTCTCAAGCTAACATTGGGCAGAATGACCTTCTCAACCACCTGACTCAGAATTTCGCCATTGTTGAAATTTTGAGCATGCTTGTCAAGACTAGCAACTGCGGTCAAAAAATGCAACGCTTTGCTAACAAGAATGTCGAATTTTGTTTCAGGTCCAATGGTTGTTAACAGACTCCAAGCACTTGTGATGAATGGCTCGCAAAGACTTCCAAATGCATCTTCATATTTCTGCATGTAAAGTGTCGAAACCTCACATATGCCAGCTTTCACGAACTCAAGAGGTCCCGACTCAGAATCGTCGTCCGTTGCCAAAAGAGGATTTTCATATGTAAGGTATTTGTGCAAGAGTTTCGATAAGTCTCCGATATTATCCTCGAAGATAGGAGGGAGATCTTGGCAAGAAAGATCGAAGAAAACTTTCATCAAAAGGTTCATCGTCTCAAAATGTTGCTTCAGAACCTCTTTATTATCCTTATTTGCTTGGATCTGCTGGTCGGTGCTCTGTGAAAGATAGATCAGCTGGTGCCTACATCTCTGAGTGGGTGGGATCTTACCGCCAGAAGCTGTACAAACGGTTGACCAAATTTTGATAGTACGTGGTTGACTTCTGTGTATAGAGCATCTGAGGCGAACAGCGGTCTCCATCTCTTGAATATTGAATGCGCGACTTCCAGTACACCATTATTGATTTTAGCGTTATTAGGAGTGAGGCGGGAAACCAAGTCCTACATAGAGTCAGTAAATACTTCAACACGCAAGTGATTCGGCACGCAAGTGACTAACATCGACCAATGTATCCCATCTGTCCCAGAAGTCTGATTCTGCAATGATACTGATAGCTTCTCCAAGTTGGGCTTGTATACTGTTCGGGACCGAGACCATGAGGCCAATTAACTCAGTCTTTATCGTGAAAACTTCATTTTGTGGAAGCTTGTAGTTTCTCTCTTCGTCCTGAAGATTTGTTAGCAGAGAATGGGAATTAGCGCGAGATACTTACCACATAGTTGTACTTAATGAAATTTTTGAAGCATAGAGCACCCGAGAGCCTCGTATTGACTGGCAGGTCATCTGCTGCAACGATGTTGAGGAGGAGGAGAGAAAATCCAGGTTTGGCTTGCTCTACTTTCAAGGCTGCCTCAGCTGTACAAAACAGTTAACAATAATTACTTTATAAATATGAGTAATATGAGTATAAAAAAAGTTCACAAACCTTGCTTATGCTGCCTTGGGTCCAAGGTAGCTTGAAGCAGAGCTGCAACTGTTTGAATATCTGAAGACATATTTAAAGAGACCGTGTGAAGATCTAATAAATAGAAATCAAGAGCTGGTGATTGACACAGAATAATGTTTGCTTGTAAACTTTCTAGAACCTAAAAAGGATGGAGGGACGGAGGTGAAGATAATCCGAGACCCGATTTATTAGGAACACAGAAAGAGCTTTATAGAATGATTCCTTGATTTCAGCTAAAGCAACAAACAATTCATGAGCTATTTGAAACCAGAACCAAAGATGTACGTTGAGTTTTCGTTGTATCCCAGAGATTTCATTCAAGCTGGTCACCACCCCCTGACATCTTTATTTTGAGATTTTTGTACTCTTATCTGATCTAGTTATTGAAGGAAACCGAGGAGTTCCCTCATTGAAGACTAGTGTCATCATCATCAATGTGCCTGGTGTGCTTCATTGATTGAAATTGGCAGCCTTGTAGCCTTATAGACCTGGCAACATTTTGATAGCCTCAGAAGTGAAGACAAAAATTTATAGAGGATATTGATGAAGTCCATCCTACACTCCCTTCTCGCATGAATACCAGGTACTTGGGACATATGTTTGTGTGTTAGCTGGCTCCTAGATACTTGTGGTGTGTATGCTACCTACTAGGTATCTCCGAAAGTTCGATTCTTCGCATTTGAATAGCCACTTCACTTCATCCACACCTCACATCCTATTTTGAAGGTTCGGTTTACTGTCGCTGCTTTACTCCATTCACTCCCTTATTCACCGTACTTCTGGGATTTTGCCCTGTTTAGCTGCTTCACTTTACGCATCCATCACCCTTTCACTATGCAACATCAATTTCCATGATTGAATAAGTACACATGTTGATTAAATTTGATAATTCGTACAAGACATATCAGACGTCCCTCATAATTTTCACTGCAAT